GGGCCTCCTCTGGCGGCCTTGCCCGCGGTGCGATCTCGGTGCTCTCTGCCCTCCGCTCCCTGTACCCTGACCCGCGGCGGGGGGGTCCGCTGCCTGTGCCATTCTCCTCACACCTGCCTGTGGGCTCAGGTCCGGGATCCTGTTTGTTCCCCGGGGCAGCGTTTGGGTTTTTCTGTGGAAATCAGACGCGGAACCAGGCCCAACAGGAGCAGCATGTGGCCCGTACAACTCACACGCTCGGCCAGCAGAAGTCACCCCCCAGCCCCCAAGTCCCCAAAGGCTGAGACGCTTTGGGGGGAAAACAGAAAGACAGGCCTTGGAGGAAAGGCAGACAGACATTGAGAGACATGTCATTCGAAAGAGATCAGATTGATAACGATACACGACAACGGGTTATCTTGTGAAATTGGGTAATAATACACTGCAACTCGTGTCTTGTAAAAGCGGCGAGATGGAAATGGAGAATTTTACCACAGTGGGCTCTGCTGTGAGATGTGGGTTTAGAAAGGATGCCAATCCTCACAGCGGCATTCCATCAATTCCCCGAAAAAGGTAGCTCTGTGTTTAGTTAATTGACAACAGAAATAAATATCAAGGAACTCCGAGTAACCTTTTTTTCTGGACCTCAGCTTGTTCTCTAAGTTGCAATGGGTGGTCTCTAGGCCCCATCTAGCCGCAAACCGCCATTTTCTGAGCGGAACACCACTCCCAAGAGCTTTGTTTTTCCCAAGCTCTTGCCACATAGCTGGACTCAGTTCTTTAGGTTCAGAGTCCGTCTTGCTCAGCAGCATTTCAGGAACACTGCGTTTTCACAGATGCTTTCCAAATTAGTTTGATTGGCGCACCAGAGCGTTTTAGAATGATTATTTCACTTCCTGACTCTGGCTCCGTGGGAGTGAGCAGCAGAGCTGGGATTACAGGGGGTGGGCTTAGGCTGCGCCCTTTTCTCTTCAAATAGGGCCGCTTCTTGAACACCATTTCCCTCACTTCCCCCAGCATTCAGCAGGCTTCTCTGTGTTTACAGGCACACCCAGTGCACCACACCTGCTTAATGAGAGGCTTAGGGGAGGCCGGGATAGGCCCCCTTGCAGGCCCCACATGTGTGTTGTGCTCTGGGACAAAGAGCATTCTTGTAATTTCATCTGCAGGATTTCTAACCTTGATTTTTTTGAGTTGGATGATTCTTTGTTGTGGGGAACTGTCCTGTGTCTTGTAGGATGTTTAGCAGCATCCCTGGCCTCTACATGCCAATAGAATCCTCCTCCCCAGTTGTGGCACCCCCAAAGTATTTCCATATTGCCAAACATCCCCTAGGGAACAGAAATCACTGGGGTGGGAACCCCTGACCTGTAGAAATAGCTGATGGCTATTCTTTCCTCATGACCATACTTCTCAGGCCTTAGAAGTATTGTGTACTCCATGGTCAAGCTTGGCAGCTATGCGGAAGGTCAGGCTTTTCGGTATTTGCAATTAGGGTTTTTGAGGGAAGCTCTTTCTGAGTTATTAATTTTTCTTCTCTGGGCCTCAGTTTCCTCATCTGTAAAAATGGGTGTGAAGGAGGAGGGTTGACTGAGTTTCTAAGTTATTTTTTTCAAATCTAAAGTTCTAGGACTTGATCTGGATGTGAACCAATTGATAATCTGAACCAAGAAATGGGGACAGCTTTTCCTGTCACATGTGGGCATATCCATTGTCTGTCCCCCATCACACCACTAAAACTTGAACTAACTGCTTGCTGAACACGATTTCCTTGTCTTCACTGCCTTCTGGCCCGTTTCCCTCCTCCACTATTCCCACCCACACAACTCACCCACCCTGGGCCCATTTTAAACAGCAGCTCCTCTGTCCTGGGTTGATGCACCATCTGATTGCCATGCATGAACTCTTTCAAACAGCACTGTCCAATAGAAATTTGAGCCACACCCTGTAATTTTCCATTTTCTAGTACCCATATTTTAAAAAGTAAAAAATAACAAGTGAAATGAATTCTTTTTTTATTGAATTTATTGGTTAATAAAGTGATCCAGGTTTTAGGTGTACAAGTCTATAATACATCATCTATATGTTGTATTGTGTGTTCACCACGCAAAGTCAACTCTCTTTCCATCACCATTTATCCCCTCTATACCCTCTTCTACCTCCTCCTACCCCCAAATTAATTCTAATTGCACATTTTATTTGACCCAATGTTCCCAACATAGTATCATTCCGATATATGATAATATAAAATTATTAATGACATTGTGCATTCTTTTTTTCCATGCTAAATCTAAAATCTAGTTTGTAGTTTACATTTACAGTACATCTCAATTCAGGTTAGCTACATGTTGCTAATGACTGCCATGTGGGACAGTGCGGGTCTAAACAAATGTCTTTCCTTCTTCCTTCCCCTACTGTCCTCTCTCTTCCCTCCTTGCAGCATCATGCACAGCCATGCACCTCCTCTTTGCCTGCCTTTCACTGCCAAGTCAGTTCTGCTGTAGTCTCTCCTGTATATAAAGAATCTTGTTAGGATCTGGGGCTGCCTCCTCAGGAAAATGCTTGGTGCTCCCTCTCTACTCCTCTCCCATTCTTCCCCTCTTCCCCTCTCTTCCTCCTCCTTTGTTCATGTTTATTAGGAGCCAAGAATTGCCTCTGACAAAGGCCAGGAGGTTGGCAGGGCACAAGTGAGGGGTTTGTTCTAAGGAGAGGAGAGCTGTACTGCCCCCTGGAGGGAAGCAAGGGGCCTGAGGGCTCCATCTTCAGATGATTTTCCAAGACCAGAAGCTTTTTCAGTTCCCCAATGAAGAGACTAGATTTGTTAAGAGCTGAGCCATATTTTTCTTCTTCTCTCCTGAATTTTCCATGGATTCTTCTAGGTGTTAAATAAGTTTATTTTGTGCTGTCCCTTGGAGTGACTTTTATGTGGCAGAAACATTTTACTTTTGTTGAAATCAAAATAAGTATTCAATTTATTAAACTCAAAACCCTAGTTCTTACTTAAGCTTTTAAACTTACCTTATAAAGCTTATTACATTATAAGTCTAATGATTGTCAAGTCTAATGATTTGACAGTCATTTTGGAAGGCCTTTGAATAATACTCACTTATTTTATTTTTATTTTATTTATTTTTGTGTGTGTGTTTATTTTTGTTTAAAATATTACAGATGTCCTCTTTTCTCTACAATGACCCATTCCACCCCTTCCCCCCCCTCCCCAGTTCAATCCTATTTTAGTTAATTAAATATCTTTGATGTTTTAGACTGCAGTTATACACTTATTATATTTTCTAGGCACTGCAGTTGTCTGACCTAAATCTTTTCAGAGTACTTAAATAACTCTTATAAATCTAATAAATTAAATGTATAACTATGCAAACCTTAAATGCTCATATATTTTAAATCCTTTTATACATATAGTGAGATTTGAATTTATAATCACAAATCTAGATCACTCCGTTTTACTTTTTTTTATCTTCTACTTTTTATTTTTCAATTTCACTTAAAAAAATGTTCTTATTCAACCACTTAGCCACACCGGCTGGGCTCAATTTCACATTTTAAATTGGAGTTACAAAGGTAATCTAGGCCAGTTCTCTAAAACACATACATTTACTTAAAATACCAAAACCTCAAAGATTCCTTAAGCAAAAATACAGGGGAGGGCAAAAGTAGGTTTACAGTTGTTCATATGGCAAAGAATACAATAATTAATAAATAACAATACAAGTATAAACTTTTGTGTACTCACAACTATAAACCTACTTTTGCCAACCCCTCTATTAATCACATAGGTATGATTCTTTTGAACATTCATATGTATTTAACTCTTGCTCTTTCCACTTTGAGATTTCCTTATTCCCCAAGAAAGCAATGGCGTCAGTTGGATTGCTTTCCCAAGCACATGTTTTGTGGTGGCCTCCTTAGCTTACTGAGACTTGACCTCCTAGAGGCATCTATGGGGATGGGCTGGATTCCTAGGGTTCTATTTCTAGTCTCTGTCAGGGACTTCATAATTTAAAGGGGATCTCAGAACCCAAATTTCTTATGTTCGAGTCACATTGTTGTCTACTTTGGAAGTTAGTTTGTACCTCCCACCCATTTGGATATACTGAACTCTTCCAAATCCTGCATTCTTTTCATATTCTTGTGTTTTGGGACCATTCAATTCTTATTGATATGCTGTTCAATTACATTCTGCTTATTTCTCATGACTTATCTCTCAAGGTTGTTCTGCTTAGAGAAGTTTTCAAGAAGGCAGCAAGTCGGAAGAAAAGGCAAATTAGGAAAAGTTGGTCCTCAGTTACTTGAAAATTTTCCATCCCCTGAAATCTCTTTACACTATGAGTCTCTCTCTATGTAGCTGCTACTATAGCCCAATTCATCGTCTGAAAACACAGCTCTGGTGATACTCTCCCATTCAGAAAGCCTTAGGGGCTCCCCATTACCTTTAAGAAGAGCCCCTTACCCTGGGCTTGAGGCCTATTGATTAGGTCCCAGCCTCTCCTCTTTTCCAGCCTCGTTGCCCACCCCCCCTCGCATAGCCCACCCTCCTGATTCTGTACCCAGTTGTTCCCTGGCCTTCTTCTACCTGCCTTGTTTGTAAAGGGAGGGAGTGGTGGAGAACCCTCAGTCTCTTCCCCAAGGCCAGGCAGCATGTGACCTCAGTGGAATTAGCTGGGCACCCACCACCCAGGAAATCCATCGAGGCCCTTGCCCTACATGTCCTGTTCTGTTTCTAGGCTCGGGAGCAGGATGTGAGTAGAATCATCCAAGCCCTAAATGAGTGCCTTGCCGCTCTTCCCCAGCAGCACCTCCGGAAAGTCTGTGGCATCGGAGTGTCAGGACAGATGCATGGAGTCCTGTTTTGGAAAACAGGCCAAGGTATGCTGGGCTCTGGGGATGATCACATGCTGTTAGCAGTCACTGTGGAACGAGAAAAGTGCTGCCAACGGCTGTCTGAAAGGCCAGCAGTGAGGATGCAGTGGCACACACCACCTCATATTTTGCATACGTCCCATCTTGTATAAATGTGTTAATGAATCAATGAACTATGCAGTTACACATCAACAGCACATCAGCCAGGAATAGGAGAGGGAGAGAGAGTTTTCTCTGATTCTCTGTGGGGTTTCGTGCAGTGGATTTTCCATAGCTTTCTCTTTATGTCAGTGTCTCAGAGCATCACTGCCGGCAGCCAAGAGGTAGTGTAGCTGTAGGAGGTGCCAAGGCGCAGAGGAAACTCTTCTGAATTTGGGCATAGTTTTGTTATTTAACATAATCACAGATATTTGTGATTTTTAAATTCCAGGGTGTGTCCTTTTTATGGGCTCAGTCGCTAGCTAAGCATTATTTAGTTGGTCATTTTATATCAGAAGGTTTTTGCCATATTGCAGAGATGGGTGACCTGTTTGGCCTCCAGGAGGAGAACTGAGCCAGTAAAATTGCAATGAGCAATTTACATGCAAGATGCTAGTCAAAGGAGGCTACCTACATGATCTCATAGAACTTTCCCAACACCCTACGACATAGGTTACATGACTGCCCCTGTTGTGCAGATGAAAAATTGAGATTCTGAGAGATTAAAATAATATGCTTGAGGTCATAGGGCAGCAAGTGGCGACTCCAGTTTTTGAACGCAGGTATGTCTGAGTATCGACACTTAGCTTTTAAAGGCCTCTGGGAGGACCAGAGCTACATGGGGCACAATAGCTTAGTGAAAGGAGGAATTTCTCAACAGAATGTCCAAGGAGGGATTCAATTCCATAATAAGTTGTGTGCTCTCTGCTATGGCAAGCCTTGAAGATATTTTTAATTATAAAAAATTCTATATTGATGTAAAAGCAGGGAGAATAGTATTATGAACTGACACACCCATCACCCAGCTTCAAAAATACCAACATTTTACTGTAGGTGTTTTAGGCAGAGGATGGATGGCTACTTTGGGGGGCTGTAGTTAAGGGGATTTGAACATTGGATTCACCCCTTCCTGCCTGGAGAGTCAATGATTCTGATTCCCCTGGGCCAAGTGAGCAGTGACTTGCCTCTCAGCAGCATGACTGGTGTCTAGGGCTGCATCCTTTGATCAGCTGACAGGATGGGCTGGGTACCCGGAGAAGTCAGTGCAGGCTCCCTCCTCAACTTCCCTCCCTCTCATCTGCCTGTTTTCAGACCAACTGGGACCAAGGAGCTGCTTGGCTCCCATCAGTAGCAGGAGCCGAGGCCGATTAGGGTGTTAGAGCTGACCTCTCAGAGGGAGTCTAGGTTGTAAAAGCTTTTTAAACTCCTTAATTTTGCATTAACGAGAATAAATGCCCTTTTAATACTAAAACCCTTTCCAAAGAAGACAGCAGAGATCTAATGATTGTGGTCTGGTCACATGCCCTCCTTTCTGCCCGTCTCCTGGACGCTAACAACCATACAAGCCATCGTTCTCTGGTTGGAGAAAGCTGCTTAATATTTCATTGAGCCAGCCCACATGCCTTTTTGTCTTGTTTTCTGTTTCTGGGAAGGAGGAAAGCCACTGTTTGATGATGATGATACCTGCTTAGCAGAGTTAGGTGAAATCAATTTGGGATCAGGTTGTTCCGCTTTTAATGGTGGCCATAATTTGGTTTGGGTTTAGTACCTACCATATATAAGGCTCTGTGCTGGGCCCCGCGGGAGGCATAGAAAGGAATGGACGAAGCCCTCACCTTCCAGGGCATGCTCAAGGCAGTCAACATAGATGGGGACCAGTAACCCGAGTGGAGAGCTAAGTGCCTTCATGAGGGTACAGTCGAGGCAGTTGGAGGAGAGGAGAGGGAGTGACTAGTGTCTTCTGAGAGGCCTGTGGTTACACCTGTTTCAAGACTCCATTTTTAGGCACAATATAGCAGGAGAGAAGTGGGATCATAAAACCAAACTAAAAGGCAAGCAGCAGACCAGGAGGAAAGGCTTGCTAGTGCATAGTAGACAAAGGAGGAATATGGGAACATATAAGAACTAATAACAAATAAAGGACAGATGCCCTGTGGGAAAATGAGCGAAGGGCAAGGACAGGCTGTACCTAGAGGATGAAAGACAAACAGCTAATAAGCATATGAAAAGGGGCTCGATGTCATTAGTAATTAGGGAAGCTCAGATGAAAACAACAATGAGAAATCATTTTCCACCCACTGGACTATAAGAAATCAAATTCTGATAATGTCAAGAGTTGGCAATGAGGTGGAAAATTGGTTCTTTTAAATACCGCTGCTGGGAGTTTCAACCAGCAGAGATGTTTTGGAGGGCAATTTGATGAGGCCTGTTAAAAACAAGATAGCTTCTACTAAAAGAAAACGAAATAAGACAGCTGCTATGACTAAACAGTGCTGCTACTTGCAGTCTGTTCTGGAAAGTGCTTTAACACGTCTGTGCATAGGGAGGGATAACCAGGGCCATTCGAGGCAGCCTTGTTTATAGCAGTGAAAACTGACGTTTAATCATAGGGGAAGTGTTGACTAGTGCTCCGATGCCCATGCTGGAGAACGATATGCAGTAGTTAGAAAGTCTAAGGCCCACTCAGACACACTGACATGAAAAGAACTCCAGAACATGTTGTTGGATGTTAAAAACAACCCTTGGAAAAAGAAATACAGTATAGTACTTTTTTTTTTAATAGACAAAACCAAAATAAAAGCGACTCATACCAACCAAACCAAACAAAATAGGTGTGAGTGTAAAACCTTTAGATGGTTATTTAGCAAGTGCTGACAGCAACAGGAAGGGGGCTGGGACTCAGGTGGGGAATCTAGCTGGCCTTTTGCTTTATATTTGAACATTTTTAAAAATATATATATATCTTTATTGATTTCAGAGAAAGGAAGGGAGAGGGAGAGAGAGAGATAGAAACATCAATGATGAGAGAGTCATTGATCGGCTGCAGC